CAAGGTTACATTGTGATAGTTGGACTGATTTCCTGTAGGACAAGGCTAAGTTACATTGTAATAGTTGGACTGATTTCCTGGAGGACAAGGCTAGGTTATATTGTAATAGTTGGACTGATTTCCTGTAGGATAAGACTAGGTTACACTGTAATAGTTGGACTGATTTGCTGTAGGACAAGGCAAGGTTACATTGTGATAGTTGGACTGATTTCCTGTAGGACAAGGCTATGTTACATTGTAATAGTTGGACTGATTTCCTGTAGGATAAGACTAGGTTACACTGTAATAGTTGGACTGATTTGCTGTAGGACAAGGCAAGGTTACATTGTGATAGTTGGACTGATTTCCTGTAGGACAAGGCCAGGTTACACTGTAATAGTTGGACTGATTTCCTGTAGGACGAGGTTAGGTTATACTGTAACAGTTGGATCGAATTCCTGAAGGACTAGGCTAGGTTACACTGTAACAGTTGAATATATTTCCTGTAGGACAAGGCTAGGTTACACTGTAACAGTTGGATTGATTTCCTGTAGGACTAGGCTAGGTTACACTGTAATAGTTAGACTGATTTCCTGTAGGACAAGGCAAGGTTACACTGTAATAGTTGGACTGATTTCCTGAAGGACAAGGCTAGGTTACATTGTAATAGTTGGACTGATTTCCTGAAGGACAAGGCTATGTTACATTGTAATAGTTGGACTGATTTCCTGGAGGACAAGGCTAGGTTATATTGTAATAGTTGGACTGATTTCCTGTAGGATAAGACTAGGTTACACTGTAATAGTTGGACTGATTTGCTGTAGGACAAGGCAAGGTTACATTGTGATAGTTGGACTGATTTCCTGTAGGACAAGGCCAGGTTACACTGTAATAGTTGGACTGATTTCCTGAAGGACAAGGCTATGTTACATTGTAATAGTTGGACTGATTTCCTGTGGGACAAGTCTAGGTTGCACTGTAATAGTTGGACTGATTTCTTGTAGGACAAGGCTAGGTTACATTGTAATAGTTGGACTGATTACCTGTAGGACAAGGCAAGGTTACATTGTAATAGTTGTACTGATTTCTTGTAGGACAAGTCTAGGTTACACTGTAATAGTTGGACTGATTTCTTGTAGGACAAGTCTAGGTTACACTGTAATAGTTGGACTGATTTCTTGTAGGACAAGTCTAGGTTACACTGTAATAGTTGGACTGATTTCTTGTAGGACAAGTCTAGGTTACACTGTAATAGTTGGACTGATTTCCTGAAGGACAAGGCTAGGTTACATTGTAATAGTTGGACTGATTTCTTGTAGAATTAGGCAAGGTTACATTGTAATAGTTGGACTGATTTCCTGGAGGACAAGGCTAGGTTATATTGTAATAGTTGGACTGATTACCTGTAGGACAAGGCAAGGTTACATTGTAATAGTTGTACTGATTTCTTGTAGGACAAGTCTAGGTTACACTGTAATAGTTGGACTGATTTGCTGTAGGACAAGGCAAGGTTACATTGTGATAGTTGGACTGATTTCCTGTAGGACAAGGCAAGGTTACACTGTAATAGTTGGACTGATTTCCTGAAGGACAAGGCTATGTTACATTGTAATAGTTGGACTGATTTCCTGAAGGACAAGGCTAGGTTACATTGTAATAGTTGGACTGATTTCCTGTAGGACAAGGTTAGGTTATACTGTAACAGTTGGATCGATTTCCTGAAGGACTAGGCTAGGTTACACTGTAACAGTTGGACTGATTTCCTGAAGGACTAGGCTAGGTTACATTGTAATAGTTGGACTGATTTCTTGTAGGACAAGTCTAGGTTACACGGTAATAGTTGGACTGATTTCTTGTAGGATAATGCAAGGTTACATTGTAATAGTTGGACTGATTTCCTGTAGGACAAGACTAGGTTACACTGTAATAGTTGGACTGATTTCCTGTAGGACAAGGCTAGGTTATACTGTAACAGTTGGACTGATTTCCTGAAGACCAAGGCTAGGTTACATTGTAATAGTTGGACTGATTTCCTGTAGGACTAGGCAGGGTTACAGTGTTATAGTTGGATTTGAAGGACACGGCTAGGTTACATTGTAATAGTTGGAGTGATTTCTTGTAGGACAAGGCAAGGTTACATTGTGATAGTTGGTCTGATTTCTTGTAGGACAAGGCTAGGTTATACTGTAACAGTTCGACTGATTTCCTGAAGACCAAGGCTAGGTTACATTTTAATCGTTGGACTGATTTCTTGTAGGACAAGGCAAGGTTACATTTTAATAGTTGGACTGATTACCTGTAGGACAAGGCAAGGTTACATTCAAGGCTAGGTTACATTGTGATAGTTGGACTGATTTCTTGTAGAACAAGGCAAGGTTATATTGTAATAGTTGGACTGGTTTCCTGTAGGACAAGGCTAGGTTACATTGTAATAGTTGGACTGATTTCTTGTAGGACAAGTCTAGGTTACACGGTAATAGTTGGACTGATTTCTTGTAGGATAAGGCAAGGTTACATTGTAATAGTTGGACTGATTTCTTGTAGAACAAGGAAAGGTTATATTGTAATAGTTGGACTGATTTCCTGTAGGACAAGTCTAGGTTACACTGTAATAGTTGGACTGATTTCCTGTAGGACAAGACTAGGTTACACTGTAATAGTTGGACTGATTTCCTGTAGGACAAGACTAGGTTACATTGTGATAGTTGGACTGATTTCTTGTAGGACAAGGCAAGGTTACATTGTAATAGTTGGACTGATTTCCTGTATGACAAGTCTAGGTTACACTGTAATAGTTGGACTGATTTCTTGTAGAACAAGGAAAGGTTATATTGTAATAGTTGGACTGATTTCCTGTAGGACAAGTCTAGGTTACACTGTAATAGTCGGACTGATTTCCTGTAGGACAAGGCTAGGTTACATTGTAATAGTAGGACTGATTTCCTGTAGGACAAGACTAGGTTACATTGTGATAGTTGGACTGATTTCTTGTAGGACAAGGCAAGGTTACACTGTAATAGTTGGACTGATTTCCTGTAGGACAAGTCTAGGTTACACTGTAATAGTCGGACTGATTTCCTGTAGGACAAGGCTAGGTTACATTATAATAGTTGGACTGATTTCCTGTAGGACAAGTCTAGGTTACACTGTAATAGTTGGACTGATTTCTTGTAGGACAAGGCTAGGGTATACTGTAACAGTTGGACTGATTTCCTGAAGACCAAGGCTAGGTTACATTGTAATAGTTGGACTGATTTCTTGTAGGACAAGTCTAGGTTACACGGTAATAGTTGGACTGATTTCTTGTAGGATAAGGCAAGGTTACTTTGTAATAGTTGGACTGATTTCTTGTAGAACAAGGCAAGGTTATATTGTAATAGTTGGACTGATTTCCTGTAGGACAAGACTAGGTTACACTGTAATAGTTGGACTGATTTCCTGTAGGACAAGGCTAGGTTACATTATAATAGTTGGACTGATTTCCTGTAGGACAAGTCTAGGTTACACTGTAATAGTTGGACTGATTTCCTGTAGGACAAGACTAGGTTACACTGTAATAGTTGGACTGATTTCCTGTAGGACAAGGCTAGGGTACATTGTAATAGTTGGACTGATTTCCTGAAGGACAAGGCTAGGTTACATTGTATAGTTGGACTGATTTCCTGTAGGACAAGGCTAGGTTATACTGTAACAGTTGGACTGATTTCCTGAAGACCAAGGCTAGGTTACATTGTAATAGTTGGACTGATTTCTTGTAGAACAAGGCGAGGTTACATTGTAATAGTTGGACTGATTTCCTGTAAGACAAGACTAGGTTACACTGTAATAGTTGGACTGATTTCCTGTAGGACAAGTCTAGGTTACACTGTAATAGTTGGACTGATTTCCTGTAGGACAAGACTAGGTTACACTGTAATAGTTGGACTGATTTCCTGTAGGACAAGGCAAGGTTACATTGTAATAGTTGGACTGATTTCTTGTAGGACAAGGCTAGGTTATACTGTAACAGTTGGACTGATTTCCTGAAGACCGAGGCTAGGTTACATTGTAATGGTTGGACTGATTTCCTGTAGGACAAGGTTAGGTTATACTGTAACAGTTGGATCGATTTCCTGTAAGACTAGGCTAGGTTACACTGTAACAGTTGGACTGATTTCCTGAAGGACTAGGCTAGGTTACATTGTAATAGTTGGACTGTTTTCTTGTAGGACAAGGTAAGGTTACATTGTAATAATTGGACTGATTTCCTGTAGGACAAGGCTAGGTTACATTGTAATAGTTGGACTGATTTCCTGCAGGACAAGGCTAGGTGACACTGTAATAGTTGGACTGATTTCCTGTAGGACTAGGCTAGGTTACACTGTAACAGTTGGATAAATTTCCTGTAGGACTAGGCTAGGTTACACTGTTACAGTTGGGTCGATTTCTTGTAGGACTAGGCTAGGTAACATTGTAATAGTTGGACTGATTTCCTGTAGGACTAGGCAGGGTTACAGTGTAATAGTTGAATTGATTTCCTGTAGGACTAGGCTAGGTTACATTGTAATAGTTGGACTGATTTCCTGTAGGACTAGGCAGGGTTACAGTGTAATAGTTGGACTGATTTCCTGTAGGACTAGGCAGGGTTACAGTGTTATAGTTGGATTGATTTCCTGTAGGACAAGGCTAGGTTACACTGTTATATTTGGACTGATTTCCTGTAGGACTAGGCTATGTTACAATGTAACAGTTGGATCAATTTGCTCTAGGACAAGGCTAGGTTACACTGTAATAGTTGAAATGATTTCCTGTAGGACTAGGCTAGATTACACTGTAATAGTTGGACTGATTTCCTGTAGGACTAGGCAAGGTTACAATGTAACAGTTGTGCTTTATAACAGTGTATTACTGACACTGATAAAAATAGCAATAAGCTCGCCTCACATGATGATATATAAATAAAGAATCACAGTAACTTCTGTTTTATATATGGCTTTAATTACTTTCATATTTATGTGTTGCTACCAAGAATATGTACTTACTTTTGGTCAAATGAATGAACAGTGCAGCCAAACTTTCTGATCATGTCTATTTCAAACGCCCAGTTTCCATTCATCCTGTGTGTAACATAAAATCAGGCAAGGCTGTCTATATAATAACATATCACAACACATAATATGTACATGTGAAATATAAAGTGTATATTTAAATAAATTGAAATAGTGTAGATTTTTTCTTCCTTTTTTTACCCTTTTTTTCTTTTACCTTATTCAAACATTTTACTTCCCCAGCACATTAAGAATACTGCCGGGGTTAGGGAGCCCCGGGATCAGCATCTTCACAATCATGTGTCCTCATATAACAGAGCTATCATACTTTCTTTCATACTTACTAGTAATTATATTATTATTTCTTTATTTTCACTGTCTTCTTTAACATTTATACTTACATTAAAACTTACATTCAAAGTTACCGTACAAATTATCCTTACATACATAAATGCATACACTCCCTTTGCCGCGCCTCCAGTGTAGATTTTCATCTTTTATGCCTTATATATCTATCTATATATATGTAAATAAAGAAATAATAGCGGCAGTGTCGACAATGTGATTTGAAAAATCCTCAAACGCAGATTCGCTTTGAATATAGATACCATAACTGCGTTTGACGATTTATCTACTATTTTAACTCCTTTCCTTTAAATCACCATAAACACAATTGAACTACATATAGTCGGTTTTTTCAATATAAAGAGCAGTTAATATACGCATTCAACGGATGTTCGGATGCAGTGCCAAAATTGGAGTACGCTGTCGTTATTACTGAAGAGACTTATATATATATGCTGGTGTTAATCTTAATACACTATTGTACGGGTAATCTACAGCGTGCTGGAGTAGTTTTATAAATGAAATGGTGGCCTTAGTGAAGAGACTGCTGATCCTTAACTCTGGATTAACTTTTATAAATCATTATTCAGCTGGCCAAGATAATTTGTATCCTTCAGAAAATATATGATTTTTAGTCCAGTATCAAAATATGTAATGGTTTTCCATGCCCTTAATTTTTGGGCATTTTCACCAAAGGACTCAATTCCAAGAGATGTGATATCCCAGTAACTCAACTGTGTCCTTTGCTGTGTAGATCTTTATTGGTATCAGGGAACCGGATGGTTCTGAATACGAACCAACCAGTTTACGGGGGATGATGTCAAGTGTTGATCGGCAATTACGTCGCAACAACTACGGTCACACAATAACTAGCAGCCCCATGTTTGCCCAAGTGCGCGAGGTTATGAAAAGGAAACAGCGTCAGTTGAAACGCGACGGAAAAGGCAATTTAGCAAGCAGAAGTGATCCAATAAATGACACTGAAATCGACATGCTGTGGAATCCTGGCCAACTAGGTTCGAACACTCCTGACAGCTAACTACAAACTTTGTGTTTTCATAATACCGTTCATTTTGGTCTCCGGGGCTTTATATACTATTTGTTGTCAATAAATGAGGTTTATATATCTTTTACTCGGTTTAATAGAAGGTACTCGTGAAGGGACTTACCCGAAGGAGTAGACGGAACAGTCTGATGCTGGCCGTACATCTGTGTCATTACAGACCTCCCAGCCACCGTCACCGATCTGGCCGACGCGGACCAAGTTATGGCATAGGAACTGCGACTGTAGCATGTAACTGTAAGGTGGACCCGAAAAAATCTGGTTATTTTTACTGTCCACTATGATCACAGCTTCCACACTTCATTGATACTTTACTCAACAGTGTTCTACTTTGGTGGTCTATTAAGAATGACGATTGCCTACGTATTCCGTCTTTGCGTATTGCATAGTTATCTTCTCTTGTGAGCAGGTATTGATTGTGACGTCATTGGTTTGTATGAGAAAATTACGTCGTTTTCTCAAAATTTGATGACGTTACTCTCACAAACAAATGACGTAACAATCAATACCTGCTCTCAAGAGCAGATAACTCTGCAATACACAAAAACGGAATTAGTATCCCGTCTTCATACCTCATATTGATCTTCATACACCGGTTTGGTGATGAAGGAACTAAATCTGAATTCGCTGAGCGTTCTTTGTTACTGATACCAACCAATACATATACATGTACTATACAGTAATCCAAAACAGTCAAATACATCATACATATGAAGCGTAATATCATACATTACATTATCCCTCTTTATTTCAATGACTTAATAAGGAAGGTTGAAAAACAATAATCTAGCTAGATCAGACCATTACATCGATGTGAAATGTCATGTAAGGATTACCTGGAATGACATTTCAGTGAAATACAACCTTAGAGTTGTATTAATGACACCACTAGAAAATAACACTACTAGAAATACGTACCACGTAAGAGAGTACCTATTTAAGAAAATAAATAAATCGAAGGCGAAAGCCACGCAAAGAAATATTCACTACACCACATATCGTCCAGTACGGACTCATTACGGTACTGAAGGTCATAAAAAGGAAAGCCTCTTTAATGTAGGTGAACATGTAATTGTGGTGGATCGAGAACTTTATATTTCATTAGAAACATGATATGTGACTTGTAACTTACTCGTGGTACAAGGCGGCGCCCTGGACAGCCGTGATGTTCCTGAGAATGGTGATGGGAGGTAACACCGGGGCTGGTAACATGGCCGCCGTGTCCCGGATCTGTAAAGAAAACCTCGTGTGTGTGAATGATTTTTTTAGTTTATGATGACAGGCAGCTACCATTAATTTATTAGTATCTGACTGTTTCTTCTTCATATTTAGAGTGAATATCTACATCGCAAGTTTTTTCGCTTTCCTGGAGGAGGTTGGCCGTAAACTTGTAGTTGCGGAATGTATTCTGCCTAGGTTTAATTGAAACACAAGTCTACATTTTCTGTGGTATAAGAAGTTGCGGATTTATAACAATATAAAGGGATTTAGTGGCATTTCCCCCCATATTTTGTATTTTTACATATGATTCAGAACACATAAGTTATGGACTTAAAACTGTTTTGATCTTATAAACCATCGATACATCCTAAATGGGCGAGATGGCAATAAAGTACAGTTTTGCTTGTCTTTCTGCGTCGACCTACAAAATGTATTTGCCCCTTTTTTCGTATCCCTAGCGATTTTTGTTTTACTTTTCTTTTTATACATTACTTAATATTTATATATTTGTAGGGTTGGTTGACAGTTATATACTAGAATAGAGGGAGGTTCATTAATCCAGTCATATTTCTCTCCAGACAAATCCAATTGTCAAACACCTGTATTACTGGGAATAATTTTAAAAAAAGAAGGGGGAAAATTGCCTTCCGAACACTGCTTTTTACGCGAGACAACTAGATTAACAGCTGAACTGTCAAGATTTGAATTTATTCATTCATTTACTCTCAGAGAAACTTAGAAATGTGGGTATATTGAAGTCCACAATGTGACGCGACGCCTTGGTAGACAAGGAACCATTGTAAAACAGATATATTCAATAAGAATCCTGCAGTCAAGACTGGACAAGTTTACAAATGTTTTCATAAGGGTAGCTAACATTTTCCAGATTTTAATGTTATTACTGTCGAAGGACTACAGAATACTGATCAGAATACGTGTACATTACAATGTTAGGTCGGATTGTACAGTTTGCGATCTTTACTGGAGCACTTTAATTACTTCGCCAATAAAACTGCCACTTACAAGATAATAAAATTCATCGAATGTGCATATATTTATTGATGACTATGACCAATCGAGACCCTAGCCGTGGGGTGTTTAAAATTTAAAGGGAATTTGATGAGAATGCATTTGCGTAACAGTGGGGAAATACAATGTTCACACTAGATGGGATACATATATTTACATGCACTTTTTGCAGATTTGTACTAAATGAGGTTTGCCAAATTTCCACTAGACACACTATTGAGAGATGAAGTTTGGGCTTACATCTAAGACTATTTTATGATTCCAGCGTCTGGTCCCCAGCGATGAACCCGATCAACTTACGTTACATTTGCGATTTTGTCAAAGTATAAAGGAAAACCCATCATTGCACACACACAAATATTTCCTGTCAATAGGGCGTTTGTTCTCCTATCATTTATTTATTAGACAGTTAAATCAACCGCGTGACCTTCCGAGGGGGGTATCGTTGTGGTGTTCGGGTTGTGTCCGAGATCCTCTCGTTAGTATCAGGATACTCCAGATGATAGGTCCCGTTGCCCAATAGACTACTTAGCCAGATACCAGAGGGACATCCATTTAGGTTGAAGAGACTCCACTGTCGTCATCATTTAACGGTTTTCGACTATGTTTCATTTAGGCATGAACAATATACTGTCATGTGTTTGCATGTGTCATGGCTTGAGCCTGAAACGTGGGACCTGGGTAGAGGATAACATTGTACTGGTCTTTGTGTCAGTAAAGGGACCAACTCCCATACAATTGCCGGTGTTGGTAGGATTTGTAACCTCTGCACTTCTAGTATATAGATTACTGACCCAAACAAAACATACCGGTTTTAAAAGTTTAAAGAATAGCTTGTTGGTAGCACACAGGCACCTGGCATTACTAGAACACAAGTTCTAAATATCAGAGGATGTTTTGTTGTTGTGTTAGTGTATTGATCTGTATGTACAGAATGTCTTAAATGACATGTTTCTAAGGGCATGAACATGCGTGCTTACAAAATATAAGACGTATCCACCGGTTCGCCAACTATTGGTCGCGTACGTTAGTTGGTGGATCCTCTTGAAGTGATAAATCTTGAATCCAGCGGAATGGATATCCCTCAGGTGTTGTAGATATGTCATATAATGTTGGGACGTTGTGTTCCCATTTGTGACGTCAAGGGTAACGTATATCTGGTATACTTTTCTCAGTACGCCCCTCCTGGCTAGACTGGCGAAAAACGCCAGCTGTTTGCTTTCTGTCGTCAGCATTACAGACACTTGTCCCTTTGAGAAACAAAAAATAAACACAGTCACATTAAACAATACCTCTGGTACACATACCGCATGAGAACACAAGGCATTGTACATATTAACACCACATATACGTATTTGTACAGCTAAGGTCAATATATATGATATTCATTTTAATGACCACTGTTATTTTTTGTAAATGTTTGTGTGTATGAGACAGCCGTGTCTGTTGAACACAACTCTGACAAGAGTATGTTACGTATGATAAACATCTACAAATGACTAAATACTGAGTCCAAATATTGTATAAACAACATGATAGTTTATCAAGCGATATTTATCCTAGTCATATGGTAAAAAGTAAATGAAAATAGCATTCATAAACGCATGCACACAACATAACACTGACATACCGTGGCTGATAACTCCATCATAACAGACCCAGTACTGTTGTTCTTCTCCAGCTTCGTCATAAAAGATCTAAACATGAAAGAAACACTTATAATTCAACAAATACAGCATTTATTACAAACCAGTTTCAAGAACGAATCATGCTATTAAAGTACAAATCCCGCTTGTATTATTTCAATTTTACATTTTTGACATTATTCAATTGAAGTGCATACTATCGACTATAAGAAACATACATTTCTTTAACAGCTTCTTCCGACAATCATGTCTTCTAGTTGACACTATGCTCTTCTATATTCTAATGATTGTCATATTTGTACAATACTTCGACTGACACTTTAAACATATCTAGAATAGACATCCGGAACATTTAGAAGATTCTACTGTTATTACTCACGAGATGATGCCAATTTGTTTTATGTACAAATGACGTAATAATCAGTCACATTGGACAGAATCAGCTACATTCTCCATGGGAAAAAATAACATTAAAACAAAATTTTAAAACATTACCTGTAATCGATTATTTTTACGGAACACCTGAAGGCTGCTTCAAATTCGTGCTTCTCTGCAACGTCCTTACTGCTGACAAAAACGTCATCGTTGACGCAAATCGAACTATTAAGTTATTTTTTACAAAAGCTCAAATTGTCAGATTGTAGCCATAACAAAAAGGTATGTACCAAGGATACATTTTCCATAGATTAAAATCCTATTTATTATTATAAGGACCCCTAATCGGCAATGAGAGTCTCAGTCGTACATTTTCGATTTGCTTAAATGCAATTGCATATATATTTTTATGTATGCATGCTTGTTTTTTTAAGTCAAACATGTAGATTTATGCATGATGCAGTCTGCGCTTACAAAAATCTTACTTCAAATTTTACTTTTGCATACATATCTAAACGAGACATTATTAAAAGAAATCTATAGTCTCCCACCTCTGGACAAATCGGTGTAAAATTATCAAAAAGCTACAAATCTGATTATAGTGGCGTGGGTCCCAATTTTAATCGTTACAAATTCACCTGAAGGGATCCTCGCGTACAAAACTTAACATTTGTAAATGACACAGTATATACAACATGGTCCGGATAAAGTGGTGTAGTTAAACATTGGTCATACTTATAGTTGAGCATGAGCCCCAGTTTAGTACGCAACACTCCGTCATTCCAAGAGGTACTCGCATACAAAATTTGACAATTGTAGTAGAAACTGTAACTGGTTTATTACGCGGACAATGGACGGTCAATAAAGGGCCACAACTCTATGTATAATGAGGTACTACGCCCGATTTTAGAAAGGCCACCCCACTTTCCGAAAAGTCAGCAAACAATTTTTTGTTAATATCGTCGTCAATTGATCTTAACAGTTGTGTTGATACTTTCTATCGTATTTGTGTAGATACCGTCGTTATATGATCTTAACAGTTGTGTTGATACTTTCTGTCGTATTTGTGTAGATACCGTCGTTATATGGCTATAGTATTCAATCTTAAGGTGGCCATCCTCATGTGATTTGCATGTACTGTTTGACTGTTAATTGTGATTATGTGTTTTATTAGTGTTGCGCATAACCTTGTGTTGATGAGATATGAAGACCGGTAAGGCGTTTTGTTATACTTACGCTACGAAGTACATAGTACAGTCCTTTCCTCGCGGGGGCCTCACAGTGCACGCGGGCCATCCGACCCCTATAGACCCCACCAACACACGGACCGGACATAGGACCTGTAGTGACGTCACGTACCTATGAATGGAATTAGAAGTCCCTGTTTAATGAGACAAATAAAAAAGAACTGGTGATTGATAAGTATGGGCAAAACGGATACACGACCCTGTTATAGGGTTTAAACAAATTATAAACATATACTGGTACTAGTGTACAGGATTAGAAAGACAGCGGCCTGTATCATTTAGTATTCGTTTCTGTTAGAAGAGAAGTTCGAGACCTCCCCGTGAGACCTCCCCGTGTGACCTCCCCGTGAGACCTCCCCGTGAGACCTCCCCGTGTGACCTCCCCGTGTGACCTCCCCGTGAGACCTCCCCGTGTGACCTCCCCGTGAGACCTCCCCGTGTGACCTCCCCGTGAGACCTCCCCGTGTGACCTCCCCGTGAGACCTCCCCGTGTGACCTCCCCGTGAGACCTCCCCGTGTGACCTCCCCGTGAGACCTCCCCGTGTGACCTCCCCGTGAGACCTCCCCGTGTGACCTCCCCGTGAGACCTCCCCGTGTGACCTCCCCGTGAGACCTCCCCGTGTGACCTCCCCGTGAGACCTCCCCGTGTGACCTCCCCGTGAGACCTCCCCGTGTGACCTCCCCGTGAGACCTCCCCGTGTGACCTCCCCGTGAGACCTCCCCGTGTGACCTCCCCGTGAGACCTCCCCGTGTGACCTCCCCGTGAGACCTCCCCGTGTGACCTCCCCGTGAGACCTCCCCGTGTGACCTCCCCGTGAGACCTCCCCGTGTGACCTCCCCGTGAGACCTCCCCGTGTGACCTCCCCGTGTGACCTCCCCGTGTGACCTTCTACTTCTACTTCTAAATGGTACTGACCAACTTCAACAATTTGAAGATAAAATGTCAGACAAGGAGTGAAACATGGAAAGAGATTGTATTTAAAAGATACGAGATGGTCTAATTTGAAAGGTGACGGTAGAGGGCTGATTTGAATAATTCCGTTGTGGGGCTCGAAATAATGTCAGGTGGGAGTTTATTCCACTCGGGTATAGTTCGAGGGAAGAATGATGCCTTTCTGGTCTGGGTTTTTGAGTGGGGAATTTGATACGAAAACTGGTGGACCTAAGTAAGAACATAAAGGTCCAACAGCCATTAATGGGACACCTTACCCAGCTAGGAATGTCATACTAACAGACAGTAGATACAGATGCTGCGAACGATATAGATACCACTGACATAGCGTTATATACAGGCCTGTATTTGGGATATAAACACTGATCGGCTGTTTGTAGATGTCGATCAATGGACCATGTCAATTGACAGAAGATATTATTGTGACTGAAAAGTATTGGGTAGTCTGAGAAAATACGATTTCAGATATATTGTAAAGGCTATACCAGCCATAATTGAAATAACCTCCAAAAGTATCGGCACAAACTTTTTTCTTTAAAGCCGGTAGTTAGAACTCATATTAATCTTGCTAGTGCGGTGTGATCCCCATGTAGTATTGATATTATCGAGGATTAGGGCCGTACCGAGGCTTATTCCAGCGACTGAACTCCCCTTTATCCCGGGTATCTTAAGATTGAAGCATGTAAATCAAAAGACAATACGACTAAGATATACCGAGACCCGAAATCTTATACCCTGCATCACACTATTACGCACACTTTCACGTTACGTATCGCAAAACAAAATATGGGACGACCTTCATTCTGGTGCTCCTACACAGATTTAAACATCCATTCGAAAATCACTAGGAAAATAGAAAGGTATCATGATGCAATGATAATTTCATTTTTTTACACAATAAGATATTCATTCAGAAAGTGTCGATTGTCTTTAGGACCTCAAATAGAGTTTTAGTGACATGCCTGTGATAGATATCTTCTATCAAGCTCGGCTCCTGAGACCGTAGGATTGATTCCTCAGGTATCCGGGTGTAAAACGGTGGTCGGTCGGCGAATTCTCTCACCTGTGTCAAAAGAAGATTTTGAGTTGCATATCTTGAAAAACTAAATAATTGGGGATTTCTCATAAGTGGTTACACTGTAAACGAGGATGTCTAAATCGAAAAGATCCCGATACTGGCAGGAAGAGCTGGGACGTTACTGCTGAGGAAAGGAAATTTACCGATCGCGGAGTCACATATTAAGGTGGTGAAGTAAACATTACTGTCAGACTGAAGGTGATACCCACTTTACTAATCAAGTTATTAAATGTAAGTACATACATGTTGATGATATAAAACAATCTGATGGATTTTAATCTTCACTTATTGTAATTGTTTGAATAAGTTATCAAATCAATGGTAAAACAACACAACAGAGTATCACCGATGTAATCAAATCGCTCACCGGTTCAGTTGTAGTGGTAGTTAGTCGCGTCGTGGTTGGTTGTGGTGTCGGGGTGAACGTGGTCACAATAACTTCCTGTTGTAAAATCCACGTGCCAAACTTGTTACCAAGATATAGGGCTATCTCCACACAGGCGCACATAACCAGCAGCCCCAACACCCGGCGGTACAACAACCTCATGGCTATCTCTCAGAGGCAGAACACCGCACTGATAAAGAATGCTAACTTATAAAACATCTCATTATCAATAAAAACAAAAACGAAAACAAAACTCACAGTCTCTAATAGGCACATTTTCAACACAAATAAACTCATAGTCTGGCCAATAGACATATAATGTAATTGGCGAAAACAATTCCCAATGGACAGTGTGTATCACACTGAATGACACAGTTTTGTTGTATTTCATTGCAACCATTTGATTATTACTCAAACAGGTAGACTCCGATGTCATTCTTGAATATTAATATACAAGAGATATCTATCAATATTTATCAATATCTCCCTAACTGATCAAACTACTCTAGAATCGCTTCTCCTCAGATAAGTATACGTTAGCAATCCGGGAGATGCATTCATCAACTATACCAAGGTACGATAACATGGCTTCCCTCTCTCAATTTCTGGTTCCGGTAAAAGAAAACGAAAACCAAATTACTTTTTCTTTTAGAAAATATAACTATATATATATAAAAGATATTTGTGCACATTGCAAAATCATTGTAAACAGTTATATTATTTTCTAGACAAGGTGTTCAAGAAACCTGAATTGCTCATATGCTCTTATTTGATTTTGACGTCCCCGACTTACTTCAATTAGGAAGATGAATTTTATAAATTACCATCTAAGCTTAAAATTAATCACTCAATGCCATGATCAGGAACATCGGCTGTATTCGGCAGTTTCTAACTGCAGATGCATGCAAGATTTTGGTGCATTCACTTGTTACCTCTCGGTTGGATTATGGTAACGCCCTGCTCTGTGGTATATCTGACAAACGAGCTAGTTACTCGTACTCGAAAGAGAGAGCACATCACACCTGCGCTTTATTCGTTGCACTGGTTACCTGTACGATACATGTCGCAGTACAAAATTCTGGTATACACATACAAGGCACTGAATGGAACAGCTCCTCAGTACCTACAGGAACTTGTTACCCTGTATCAGCGGTCAAGATCACTGCGGTCGGAGTCAGAATCTTTGTTGTGTGTCCCAAAATCTCGTACTGTGACCTACGGAAACAGATGCTTTGGTAGGGTTTCGGCTACGTTGTGGAGTAGCTTACCATCTGCTATCAGGAAGCCAAATACCCTGGCCAAGTTCAAGAGGGACATAAAAACTCACCTCTCCACGTCTGCAATTTAGAATCTTTGCAAAGACGTCATGTAAATACCACCCTTTTATTTGTTCAAATATGTGCACATTGCTTGTTAAATGTATGAAAGTGATTGCAAGCCTTTGTTGTTTGTTTTCACAATTATAACCATTACTATTATCCATATGTTGTAAAGCGCCTTAGAGTAAT